AAAAGATAATGGGAATTTTATCTCTCATTTTTCCTTTGCCTAATGCATTCGGCGTAGGGTTAAATGAAGAGCTTTGAATGTTGATGTGAGCACTTAAGGATAAAAGGTTAGTTAAATCTTTCAATGGGCGCTCATACATTTAATGTCTATTCGAAATTAATATTATACATCGAAATGGCTACTTGCACAAACAGCACCCTTTTCTGGTGGTTTGCTGTGAGTCAGAACAGGTAAGGTCTCTGCATCTAAGTCTGAAATAAATCATTGAATTCTGTAAACTACTGTCAAGTAATCATAAATGATCACAGGGAAGAAGAGTTTACTGAGGGGTCGCAAACTGGGATGTACACCCATCATAGCCTTGGTTAGAAAAGGTGCAAGAGGGATGTCATTTTCACTGCAATTTTCGTGCATTCTTTGGCAAAAGCAAAATGTTTCCATTGTTGCGTAAAGACATTTTGAATTGAAAAACTGTTAAGCCGACCGGTGCTTTGTACCCCACTCATGTACCCACTCTATCTGCTAGTCTTCAGTCTCGGATTTCAGAAAAGCAATTTGTCGTGCATTCATGATCGGACACGAATACTTTTTGGCATCTTCTATTGAAAATATTTTTTGAATCATATTGGTGACTACGTTATGCAACGTGTTGAAATGAAGAATTAGACGTTTAGGTCATATGTGGTGAGTAAAATTGTATAACACATTAATTTTGAAACGATATTGTTAGCCACTTTACTATTGTATCAAAGTTCTTCGGTTTGGCTAAATTGTGGAATACCAGGTACGCGGATACGCAATGAGCATGCTATAATGCCATATTAAATCCATTATGGGATGATTCCAAGTTCCCAGACAATAGAAATAAATCATCTATCTATCTATCTATACAGAAATCAGTAATCAGCTCTTTCCGGCGGACACGAAAAACGGCGGACAGGCTATGTCCCCATTGAGTTTATTGTCTATGAATTTCGTTATATAAAACGTACAAAGACAAATTTACCTATGAATTTTGGCTAAACATTACAGTGTTTGTAGAGTAATAGAAAATATTACGATGCTTCTATGGTATCGACATATATGGTATGGATTATTTCGCTAGAAGCCTGGTATCGAGCGATATTGATTACACAGTAATCTGTAGTCGCCCATCCCTTATATTGAATTTGAATTAGGAAGTGTTCGTGCCATTCCTTCGTACAAATATTTTTCTGGCGATATATGATCATGATATAAGGAATATTCCTTTCATCTAATATAACGGTAAGAATAAGATTTGACATTCATAGATGGCGATTCGAAATAATTTTATTTTATTTACCTATCTGTATAAAGTAGAACAAAGATGGTTTGTCATTTAAATATTTCTAAGAACAATGATCATTGTAGTTACAGTTAAACTCTAAAACTTGTACGAAAATTGCTTTATTATTCGTGATAAGTATTTGAACATGGTTATTGTCAAACCATAAAATACAACAAACATAAACAAGATATTCAATTTAGATTTCAAACATTGTTTAGGGAAGGAAATGAATATAAGTGAAGCATAACATTAAATCACTGTGTTTAACATGATTTGTTCTTGTTCGAAAGTTATTTTTGTCATCGTTTAATCTTAAAACGATCGTTGTAGAGGGTTTTCATCACTTAGTTATGTACATCAACATATTTTGAACTTTTGATATGATAAAACTTGTTTGTTGATATGTGTTGATTTGCTACTGAAATAACATACTAAAGTCAATATTTTATATGTGTTCTTCATCTTTTATAACTGATCAATGATTGTGGACAATGTGTGGTCGCTAAATATATTTTTGTTACAAGATTTATCTATTTACTTAGATTCATTCATGTACAGGAAGATCAATAATTGTTGAGTTGGGGCTCATATTAATTTATGTATATGATATGTTTTTATTCTTCAGTTCCTAGCTATTTCATGTAGTTTGCCTATTTTTTTTAGAATAGTAATCTAACCAATGAAAAATAGTTTTGGTCATAGGCGTTCAGATTCTTACATCTTTTACACAATTTTGAGTCAAATTGCATAAAAATTATGCCCACCAATTTTTCATTGGTTTTCTTATTACAATGTTTTGTTGAGCATTTTTATTGCTTTCATCACTTTTGTTGACTTCTTGACACACTCCCTTTTTTAGCAAGAAAAACTGCAGCAGGACTGTAGGATGATTGTTAATTTGGAGATCATATCATGTATGCATAATAAAGGCTACATGTGTTAAGTTCCTTTGAAAACCATTGTTGTCTAGGGATCATTACATCCAAATGTTTATGTCATCCCAACCACAGTATGGAGAATATACAGTAGGACCACTTTCTGTGCAACTTACTTCTGTATATATAAATATATTACTGGGTGTAGTTTGCCAGCTCAGTGTACTTATTGGTCAAAAAATGGTAGTGTCTGACTGCCATAATGGTAATCACTTGCGGAATAAGATATGTATGTCACAAAAATATTCAATGCAATCTATTTTTTGTTCTCTACAAAATTATACTATATGTTCCTATAACTGTGCCTCAATTACATTATGTCTTCTTTAGGTCCTAATTAATAGTTAAATTATTAGTCCAAATAAATTACACCTGCTCATTTTTTTATCATAATACCTTCTAAACAATGATAATGGTTATGAATTTTTAAAGAATAAAATTTTCAGTGGTTTAGCCAGACTGATAAAATGTTTAGTCCTTTAATGTACGTTTTTATATTCTTTTACTGTGAAAATAATAGACATTTTAACTTGTGAGTCTTAAAGTGTCCCTTCCACCAAAAAATTTTTTTAGCAATATCAAATCTGTCGAAGATTTTAAGCCTCGTTGAGGAAAAACTTTTTGTAAAAACGTTAAATTCACTAAAATCGTATATTCTATGTGCGTGATAATGAGAAGTCTGAAACTAGCTAATTTTCTGACGTCATCCAAGGTACTCGTGTTACACGAGTCGTGTATTCAATTGCAATCAAGGCAATGCTGGCTGAGGCACAATTTAAGTCTATAAGCGCCTAAAAGCATTGCCTTTGCACTAGTAAAAGCAGAAAAAAGGTAAATAGTTGCGTTGCAGCCAATTGTACGAATGAGTCAAGCCTTTGCTCTCGTATGAGTCTTAACACTATGTCTTATAATTATAAAAGGCCCTAGGCCAAGCGAAGACGGAATATCTGGGTTTTAAAGCAAAGCGCGTATTTCAGCCTTCCAATGCTTCAACACTTTGTTCGGCTCGATTAAAACCAGAGGATTTGGAGCGTCAGTTTAGTAGTTTGCCGTATCAAAAGAACGCTAATTTTCCAGGGCTTAAAAAACACGAGATTAGAATTTGTGTCTTTCCGACCATCCATGCTTTGGAGTCAAAATCCGAATCATTATCGCTCAAGATTCATTGCTTTCAGAGTTTTCTGTCACGTATCCCGGAATAAAGTTTTTGTCAGAAATATCTGACTGAACACTCAATTCTGATTTTGATTCATCGCTTTCTTCGCAAGACATAATTTTCTCGATTATTATAATTAAACATCGTAAAAGAACGTATATGTTTGATATAAGCTAAATATGCCCCAATGCTGACTATATTGGATGACGTCAAAATACCTTCTAGTGCCAGTTTCTTTTGTATTATAGAAAACGACGGCGTTAGGCCAAAAATGCGCAACTTCAAGATGCCATAAAAGTTTGTTGATTTGACCAAATTTCTGAATTTTTTTCTCAGAAAGGCTTAAAATCATAGACAGATTTCATGTTGCTAAATAAATTTTTGTTGGCAATACTAAAAAAGTGTCTGAGTGAGACAGTGTCTGTCTATCTGTCGTGATATCTTTAGCTGTGTCCTCGTTCATAGTCGCAAATACGAGCGATAACGAATAATATTGTTTGGTCTAGTATAGTCAATGCTTGGAACTTGATAGTTACACTGCCAAAAATGACAAAGAATTTAAATATATTATGACCCAATGCAAAATAACTACATCAGCAATGATATATGTACAATGTGCAATGCCTCCTCATCTTAACAATAAATATAAAAATTTAAATTGGAACAGAATCATCGGCAACATAGTCCTTTCAATAAGCAAATATTCGTACAACACAACAAACCGATTTGATATATCTTTTCACCACACCATTGTTAGACAAATAAGATATAATATTAATTTAAAAAAATCGTCTTAATTCAAAATGGCGAAGAACTTATCGTTCAATTATTGAAATTTATGAGATATATAAATACATGGCAATTATATAGTTTTTTCAAGCTTTCTTTGCACGATATTAGCACGTGAACACCAGCACACATAACATGCACTGAGCGTAGAAAAGCAATAAAAAGGAAAGATAATAATAATTACTGGGTATTTTTATTAAACATTGAGCACAGAGAACGTTTTGTACCAAAGAGAAGTGCCAAAGGAGGGAATGATTTCATTTTGTGGCATTTTGACATAAAAATATTTTTTATTTCTCATGTTATTATTAAGGAATGACCTTGGGACTTGACCTTGGGAATGGGCTTGGGACTTCATTTCATTTAATGAAAAATACAACACTAAGCAGTTGCACTACTGACTACTGTTTGTTCCATGTACTGTAACTCTGGTCAAGGCTACCCACATGTACACACTCGGTTGCGCACTATTTTTTACGTACCTTGTACTTCTGGGGACGGTTGCACGAAGCCTGGATAGCTTTGTTTGTCGGATAGTAAAATTTTCAAACTTGTAGAAAAAGGTGTTTATATTTTCCTTAGGGGAAAGAAATTTTGTGATCTTTGAAGCAATATTTGATTTCAATGATTGCTCAGTTCAATTCACATATTATTCCCTTTTAATAGATTTTGTAAAAGTTCAAAACAATTTGCCATCTTATGGATAGAGCTATTCTGCCTTCATGTAACCGGTCCCAGGTTTTTTTTATAATCACAATGAATTTGTACCATAGAAGTCTTACCTACTTTTTTTTCTGCAGGGAGCAACACTATGTCTGTCTTAAGCAGAAACGAGAAAACTAATGGTTTTAAGTTGATGAGATTAATTGTTGATGTTGGTGGAGAAGCTTTAAGAATAACATTGAGGAAACAACTGTCAGGTAATGATTTATTTTATGTATTAAATAAGACAGAAAATTATAATAAGCTTTTGTCGCTAAAAGGTAAGCAAATAAAGCAACATCAATGGGATCTACTGTATCCTTCTCCTCCAATATTACCAAATGAAAATAAGTTTGACATTACTTTACTTTGTATTCTCCTGTGTAATATTTGTGGTTTAAAACCACCTCGTGATCCAATATGGACGTCATGTAATGTCACTGATCATTCAACTGAAGCAGATATTACCCGTATCAGGTTATTTCGTAATGACGTTTTGCTCACTTACCTAACACTTCAGTAAGCTTTGATGAATTTGAAAATTCATGAATCAATGGCGAACCATTAGTTCGTTAGGAATAGTCAGTAGAGAATAGATTAAATTGAAAAAAGTGGCGTGGAAAATTGATAAAAGAATTTTGAGGAATGGATAGATTAATCAGAGAATGATAAATGATCGAGGAAAATAAAAAGAATCAGGTATAATCGATGTAGATCAATCAACAAATGATGATAGGTATAATCAATGGAATGATGGAATCAGGAATAAAGCGTGTCGAAATCTCCATCAATCAGAAGATATTTTGACAAAAAACCTTGTAAGTTGTAACTTTGAAAGTGAAATTCAACATCATTATGAAAAATTTTTAGAGGGAACACGGCAATGGGTTTTTGATGAGTTTTTAGCTTGGTTCGAAGACGACAGTTCTCAAAATCGTGCATTTGTTATTTCTGCTGTTGCTGGCATGGGAAAGTCTGTAATTGCAGCTACTTTATGTAAGCGTTATCCACAATATTTGACTGCAGCTCATTTCTTTCAACACAACAACAGTCGTTACAATAAAGCCAATGTACTTCTTCAATCTTTAGCGATGCAAGTTAGTCGAAATTTTCCTGCTTACAAAGAACTTCTTGTGAAAAAACTTTCGGGGAAACTCTATGAGCCTTTGAATAACATGAATGTTGAAGGATTATTTTCCCTTCTTTTTACTGAGTTATTTGTTAAAATTTCGGAGTTTCCTAAGCGAATTCTAGTGGTGTTGGATGCTCTTGATGAATGTGGTTATCCAGAAAGAGATGACCTTGCTAATTTGCTTGCTAATCACTTACACAAACTTCCGCCTTGCTTTCGCTTTGTAATTACAACCAGACCTAACGAAGTTGCTTTGAATAAGTTCAAAAAATTAAATCCACTGTTCATTAATTGTAGCGATAAACGCAATTTAGGGGATGTTAAATTTTTGATTGAACAAAGAATTGGCTCTACTGACAGCATTCCTAATTTTAAAAATGTTTTGGTCGAAAAAGCTGACGGACTTATGTTGCTTGCATCGCTTCTTAGCAGTGAAGTGAAAAATAAGGATTTGTTGAATGCGTCTATACCAAAAGATCTCAATGAATATTACGAAACTTGCTTAGCAAGATTGTGTAAGGAGTTAGATTCGTTTGATATCAGTAACGAAAAGTTTCAGTCAATTTTAAGTGCTCTGGCTGTTGCTAAAGAACCTCTTCCTTGGGAAATGATCGATGACGTTCTTTGTTTGAATTCGAATCGCATATCACTTGGGGTTAAAAAGATTATCTCTTGTCTGTTTGTTACCAATGAAGAAGGATGCGTTTTGTTTTTTCACAAATCCTTAAATGATTGGTTGTTGGATGATCGAAAACATGATTACTCAGTAAAAACTTCTTTTGGTAATCGACTTGTTTTAGAATTTTGTTTAAAATCTTTGCATAACCTAAAAGCTGAAGGTGTAAACTATGACATCATCAAACATGCGTCAGTGAGGTATTCAGTCAAGTATTGGTTGCTTCATTTACTTGATATTTCTGATAATGATTATATCGTTGAAAATGTTGGTAAATATCTTGTTGACTTGGAAGTTTTAGTTGCTTCTATGTTGGTTGACTCTAGTCTTACTTTTGAAAATTTTGAGTTATTCAACGCACATGATGTGTACTTTCTTATTTCTGAGAACACTCGATTTTTATTTAATGAAGTTTATTCTGTAATGACGTACTCTAAGCGTATAGGCAATAAAGTAATTTTTTTGCAAAACGTTGCCAACGAAGTCAAAGATCTGTCGTCTCAAGCCACCACAATGCTTCAAACACGTTTCAAAGATTCACCATATTTAGAGTACAGAGACACGGGTTTTGTAAAGGCTCGCTTATTACGTTTATTTCTTGGGTTGAAGTCTGTTGATGTTTCACGAAATCATGATTACGTTGTCTGTGGTTATGTAGGATTCGTTTTGCAACTTTTTTCATTGAGAACAAACAGATGTTTATGGATAAAAAATATTGCTGGTCAGCTTAAGCAATATGAAGAGGAAGAATTTTGCGTTGTCTTTCATCCATTCAAAGATTTGATTTTTGCTTCGCAGCTTGATAAGATACTAAATATTAATGGTAAAATTTCCTCCAGTTCGTTCCATTGTGATGATTCTACTTCTAAGTTCTTTACCAACAAATGTTTTTCGAAGGATAAGTGCACAATGGTCACTAGTTACAAAGATACTTTGACAGTATGGGACGTTGAGAAAGGTGAGAAGAAATGCAGTATTGGATGTACTGATGTGGTGACCTCACTGTGTTTTTCTAATTCTGGAAGATATTTGTGTGTTGTTGAGGAAATAGTGGTTCAAATATTTGATGTAGCGAATAATTATGAAATATTCGTTTACGACAATCTTTTACCGTCTAGTTTTTCAATTAAGTTGTTCACTGTTGGTCTTCATTCTTGGTATTGTTGCTATCTTTATTTGAAGGAACATTTCATTGTAAATCCCACTGGTGAGAAACTTCCTGACTTAGATCCTGATTCCCAAACTTCGTTTTTTCCTCTTGATCCTTTTGATGACAACATATCAGGCTTTTCCTTTCATGTAAGAAGCATGTATTTTTATTTTTTGTATAACGACAATGTTCTTTTGTTTGAATACGGAGCTGGTTTTTATCTTTATTCAATACCGCGTGCATGTTTAACTAACAGTTACAGTTTACGTAACGAGAAATTTTGCTCAAGTGGAAAATTTCTGTATCGGAGGAATGAAGAAAAATCAAAGGTAATTATATACAATCTCAACACATTTGACTTTGTTGTCAAGAAATGTTTTATTAGTGACATGGTTGCTGTTGAAAATGGAGTTATTTTGCTTACGGCAAAAAATACTCCTGAGCTTTGGAATGATGATTTGACAAAACTTGTTTATAGTTTCGATGAACTAAAAGGTACAAACAAAATTTTTGAGGTGAGTGATGTATCATTTGCTTGTCAAAAAACTGATTCTTTTGTGTTTTTCAATGTTGAAAACAAGGGAAAAGAAATATCAATGAATTTTGAAAATTATCGAAATGTGCACGTATTTGCATGTAGCTCTAAGTATCACGTGTTTGCTAAAGTTGAACTACAGGATCAGATAATTTACCGTATGTGGGATGAAGACAAAGAAGTTATTGGATGGAATGACATAATTCAGGAGGAGGTCGACAAAGTAATGGCAGATAAAGACATTAAATTTATACATGATATTACTGGCAGTATTCATTACGCAGATTTTTCAACTTCAGCAGATAAATTATTAATAGGTGACATGTATGATTATGTGAAAGTATTTGACGTGAAAAACCTACAAACTATTTATAGTTGTACTAAGTATTTTGTGATGTCAAAGTTTTTCTTTGTTGATGATTGGTATATAATTAGTTGGGACTTATTTTTGATTGATTTGAAATGTTTTAAGAATGATGAATATCACGATTCATATTACGTCAGTGTATTTCCAAGAACTTATTACTGTCGTAAACTCAAACTTGCTTTACATTTTTCTTCCTTAAAGGCCGCTGTAGAATGCGTAAAAATCATCTTGCCACGAGGATAAATTTGATCTTTGATGATAAAATTTCTCACCATTTTGGATAATGATTATATTACTTTTAAGAAAATCTTGTTCAGTTTTTATGCATGATCCCTATCATTGTTGACATTTAAATTAATGTCTGTTTGCGTATGATTTCATAAAACGCCCTTTGTCTAATTTTGATTGTTCTGTACAGAGACCGCAGTGTACGATAATGTCAACATTGAGAGACATGTTTTAAAGCTGAAGTAAATCAATTAAAGATTGAAATTCAATGACAAAGACAAACCATAAACACAAATGATTTCGTGTCTAAGATAATAATTTTCTTGCACAAGAAAATAATTTCATTGACTTTTGTCTTATCACACAAACATATAAAATTCAAACTTTTGTTTGTTATTGTACCATTGGTTATATTTTGTTTATATCTACACCATGTAAACATATAATTTTCATTTAAATGTATTCAGTGTAGGATGGTTTTAAAATTGCACGTTTTTCGATGCTCTTTTACACCAAAAACAAGCTTTTACTAATTAAATCAATACTATCTTGCACTGAAATAATTTCTTAATAGTTTTTAATCATTGCATTTTTTTATACAAAATATCTATGTGTTAAGTTGTTAAGAGAGACAAAGACAGCCCAATTGTTACTTCGGTTATATGAATATTTTCATCTTTATCAATTTGAAAAACGTAAATTTATAATAAAACAATGGTTCCTTTGCTAATATTTTCAAGAAAAATTAAAAATTTTGCAGTCTTTTTCACTGATTGCAGTCTTTTTCACTGATTGTTAAAAAGTAAATCGTAAACTCCACAAGAAAGTGACTTATGATTGACTTTCATCATCTTGATAAACAATTTAACCATTGAGATGGAACACTTCAAACCATGTGTTACTGTATGAACATGAAACGTTAACAAAAGTGTAAGAAAGTTTTGCAATATCGAGAGACATAAAACAAACGACAATGTCGCATATAGAGAGATGTTTAATGACAAATTTTGAACTTTTACTGAAAAATCGATATCAAGCATTGTTAAAGTTTGAACACTTTTACTTTGTGAATCGATACTTTATGGGAATTATTTTTTAACAACATCAACTCAAACATCAGTGGACATACTGCAAGTTACTTTGCCAAAGTTTGATATGTTTATGGCTTGTCTATAAAATTCCATCGTCTACTCTTAATTCAAACGATAATACAAGAAGGAGAACTTTATTTCAGGTGACGATTTTCAAGTGACATAATGAAAGAAAGGACAAATTTATGTACCATGGTTCTCTGTGGATTTATTGTTGTACTTTGTAACGTCACCTGGTCACGAGTTCATTGAAATATCATCTGTTGTCAAAATTGGAAGATATGAACTTTTACATTTATAAAATAGTGAAGCTGGCTGTTCACTTTGTCCACTTTTTACAAAACTGAAGCGTGAAAATTATCATCTCATGTGGACGTTTTGATGTGAACATAACGTATAAGTAATCATGAGAGTGAATAAAAAGAGTTTGATTTTATTACATTGTGGCTATTGGAGATGGCTAAAGGGAATTTTTGGTGCATCTATAGTGCGAGCTGCTTCTCGATTGCCTTTGCGCATGCTCTGAAATATATGTGTACTTGAATGACACTGTAACATTTGTGATATGGATTAAGATCTCATCAGCAACATGTCATGAAAATTCAAAGCAAACATCAACTATGGATGGTTGTAGAATAAAAGAGATCAGTTTAGTTCATATAAATGGTTAACAAATCATTCACAATAAAAGTAACTTCAACAACGAAGAACTACATCAAGTTATGAGAATGAAAAATATGGAAAAATTTCAACGTCTTTTTTTTCAAGATGTCATGGTTCTAAATCCGCTGTGTTTTATTTTTATGTAGTGAACTAAACAATTTTAAATCATTAAATTTCGTTTTGTTGTGTACATATCTACGTATAGTGAATCGATATCTTTCATAACAACTCATAATCGGACATGCACCGTAAATATTTAATATTGCTGCTATACATATCTGCGTATACTTAATAACATCCCATAAACGGACATCTACCGTAAGCAGACATTAGGTCGTGGTCTCAAGGATGTCCGTTTACGAGTAGCTTGACTGTATGCAGACTTTTCATTACTTCACTTTTTCTTTACATTTCTAGATTTTTTTGGCTTTTTAAATCTTAAATGCTAAATAAATGAATCCCAGATAACTCAACACCATTTTTTAGACTAATACTGCTTTTCCAACAGCCATGTGAATATCACTGGTGCTTTAGAAAAGGAGGTGTGGTATCTTGAATTCAAAAATACCAAATTTTAAATTAGCACTTAATAAGTTGTGTAATAACTTTCGCTCACATTCAGCAACATTTGTCATTATTAACTGTCATCTTGTAAAGGAAGTTGAAAAATACCCACATTTTATCAAAACAGAACAATTGCAGTTGCCATTTTAAAGACTGGTTGGGATTCATTCATTTAGCACTTATAAAAAATTACTTAGAGAGAAACTTTCTTTTTGCGCAGTGTTTGTTGAACTTTGTTTTTTAACACTTATTAACATAGTTTTATTATATTATTATGTTAATGTAGGAAATAATCGTTGTATAAATATGTTTTCTACAAAATTGTTACAATATATGTGTGTTGATCTATATGTAGTGTCTAAAATAATTTTCATATTTGTCCACTACACCAAACCTATATTGGGACTTTCGGGAAACTAGGCTCACTATTTCCCGAGGGACAGTACATTAAATGTTTTGTTATATAGGGAAAAAATCATAAATTTCGACAACTCGTCAAATTAATGTCTTTTTGGGTGGGGGGGAATTGGCCGGCAAAATTTCGTTGCAAAATGCTGTGGTTGACCACAGCATTTTAGGTTGACTTCCGAGTGTTTTCTTAGTTCCTTTTTATTAATAGTTGATTTTCGTCGCTTAATAAGCTCGATAAACGTTTTTTCAGTTTTCGGCTTGGTGGCTGTTTTATTCGTTAGGATATTAAAATGAGCGGGCAACACCTTTTCACTTGTTTTACTGGCAGGAAATTGTGTTTTATTTCAAGTCATGTGACTACTAATGAACCAATCGCAATTACTATACGCAGCACCTATATAACAATACAACTAATTGTATAAATAGAAATAATTCGAAAATTGATTTGCCGATTTGAATGGATTGTAGGATTCCAAATCTAAATCAAACGACTTTTATGCACATCATTAGTCTCATAGAATTTAGTGGGGAATGGTGATCAGGAATTAAATTTTCAAAATAAGTTGAATTTTATAATACTGTTTTTTGATACATGCTGTATTTGTTCATTTTTGGGAACACCCCGTTTAATGTTTATATGTACGTAAAGAATGGTTCACAAGGTGAGATCATCAGCTACAATTACATCTTTTACACGTAGAATCTTATCAATTTTCTTACATTAAAGGACATGGGACGTATATTTTAAGTTAGGCTTAATTAAAGGGAAATATCGCATAGACTTCTAATATACCTTTGTTAGCTCAACCAAAGTTTTTGTCTTCATGTAACAAAGGTTTTTCTGACTCCAATTTAAAAGTTCCGCGGCCATTTTGATTTGTTTTGAATATAATGTGATATGCAGATTTATGCAATGACGTCACAACTGGGAGGCATATCTGGTAACACAATATACTTTTATATGTGTTTTGATGAAGTCATTGTGAATTATTCTTAAAAAAACGTTTTTTCACACTTTTTTTACATCATGTACATGCAATATATATAATGAAATAAATAAAGAAAAATAAGTTCTATATTTATATATTCAGTATACATTTTGTATGGTTGTATCGGAGCTTGTTCGTATCCATGTTCATTTCCACTCGTAGGAAATCGTAGACGATTAAAAACATCAACAAATATGACAGCTAAAGCTTCATGAAACATATTCGCCAAAGTCTGAGAGATGATTACAAATAGAAGAAAGTTTTAAGAATTGTATTTTTGTAGACAGCAGATTTTGTTGTA